GTATAAGAGTAATTTTTCTTGTGAAACTCCAAAGGATACCATTTCAGAGGGCTCTTATGGGAAGTCCAGGGACTCTCATATGCCCACCAAAAGTGAAGAATTTCTAATGCTTTGGTGATGGGATCAAGAATCTAGTTTGAGTTAGAGAGATCCATTTTCCCAGCATCATCTTCAATAGTAATAAATTTCCACTAAGAGACTAACTGTGCAAGTGTTAATTTTTATTACTTTAGGAATTTAAATGAAATAGTCAAGTCCATGTAATCATTCCTCTCAAGTTAAGTATCTCTTCCACGTTTGAATCCTTTGACCTACAAGATATTTTACACCTTTAATGTGAAAGTTAAAAGCTAAGCTTCATTAAATCAGCGAATACTACAACTCTTTGAATTCTCATTTTTTTTTTTTTTAATTTAACAATGCCATTATTCTGTTTTGAGGGGCTAGGTATCTTGCTATGAAAACTAGGGCACTTATGTGGAATTTAATGAAGAGTGAACATAATTCTCTCATTGACACCACTTTAACTCCACTGACTCAATGGAACTGGTCATTAATTACATCTGTGCGAAAAGGAAATTGGGCCCAAAATCTGCCTAAGTTCTGTCCACATTTTGTTCCAAGTCACTGTTAGAAATGGAACTCCAACTCATCTCGTTTCAAGCTGGCAATAATGTTATTCAAGGTCAAAAATTGATTCTGATTTTGATATGTGATGTCTTACAACATGCATCTGACCTTTTAGCATGCTGGATTATGACACGGAGAACCTAAATTCGGAAGAAATCTACAGCTCTCTTCGTGGAGTCACAGAGGCAATTGAAAAGTTTAGTTTCCGTAGTCAAGAGGATCTGAATGAACCAATCAAGCGTGATGGAAAGAAAGACTGTGATGTAAGTAGGCTGTTAATGAAATTATAAAACACCATTTGCAACGCTTTGTTTTTCTGGATAGTATTGTATGTTAATTGGTCATGATTTGGAATTGTTTCCTTCATTTTCTTTGCCATGGATAATCATTTAATCCTAAAATCATAGGGGGGCAAATTCTATAGACCCTTACTCATGTCAAACTCCATTTGAAATTCACTTATCTTGACTTCAGTGGGAGTTTGGACTTAGAAAGAAATTCAATTTCACTCCTTAGGATTTCTCTACATGGAACATGCATTAAGGCTTATAACAGGAAAAGTAAGATACAAATCTTCAAAATGCATGAATTGTTTCCCCCTATTTGTAGCTAATTTATGTGAAGGTTCCATATTAACTTATGGTTCAAATCATGGATAATACTTTACATAGCATGCGGTCTCCTGGAAGTCAGTGGAATTACTTGTGATTAAAAGGTGCCAGTTAAATTTCTGCTTCTTAATGGGCAAAAGATAAATTCAGATTAGCACTGTGTCACTCAAGTATATTTCAAAGGCATGCATTCTCTGGCCTTCAGGAAGACTTTTTAAAAATTCATCATAAGAAATATTTGGCATCAATTTATGCTCATTACTCTATAATTGAGACTTGACTCTCCCTTGCTACTAGGAGTGGAGGTTTCCTAAAGTTACTGGTAGAATTTTCACCTACTTCAAAACACATCTTCATTTTTTCAGAGTTTCACTTTGCTCCTTTTGAAACTTTGTGTTTTCAAGAATATCTGTACCTGAGCATGCTTAATGATCTTTTTCTGGGTTTTGCGAAGTTGCCGGAGTTTGTGCGAACTTAGGAGTGGCTAGTAACATTGTATTTGTTGATTTGTCATCAAGTTTGCAGCATCGAAATCTTTTGGGGCAGTAATAGTGACATTATGCACGAAAAGAGATAATAGTCACATCTTAATCATCAGCAAATTAGATTATATGCAAAATTATGATTTATATGCAAAATTTATGATTGGTTCTATTTTAGTGGTTGTTAGTATAAAATGTAAAAGGCTACATCTTTGGCAAGATTAAAAGGATAATCTAAAATGATTAAGTAGATATGGTATGTCTAGACTTTAGTAAGGCTTTTGATACAGTCTCACATGACCTTCTCCTTAACAAACTAGGGAAATACAAGCTAGATGGAACTACTACTATAAGGTGGGTGCATCACTGGTTGGATAACCATTTCCAGCTAGTAGTAATCAGTGGTTCACAGTTGTTTTGGAAGGGCATAACGAGTGAGGTTCCAGAGAGATCAGTTTTGGGTCGGGTTCTGTTTGATATTTCCATCAGTGATTTAGATAATGGCATAGAAGTACACTTTTAAAGTTTGCAGATGATATCAAGCTGAAAGGGGTTGCAAGTGCTTTGCAGAATAGGCTCATAATTCAAAACGATCTGGACAAACCGGAGAAATGATCGGAGGTAAATAGGACATCCAATAAGGACAAATGCAAATTACTCCATTTAGAAGGAACAATCGGTTCCACAAATACAAAATGGGAAGCAACTATCTAGAAAGGGGTATTCTGGAAAGGGATCTAGGTGTCATAGGGGACCACAAGCTAAATATGTGTCAACAGTGTGACACTGTTGTACAAAAGAGCAAACATCATTGTGGGATATATTAGCGGGATTGTTGTAAGTAAGAAAGAGAAGTAATTCTTCCACTTTATTCAGTGCGGATGAGGCCTCAGCTGGGGTACAGTGTCCACATCTGGGCACCACATTTAAGGAAAGATGTGGAGAAAATGGAGAAAGTCCAAAGAAGAGCAACAAAAATGATTAAAGGTCTAAAAACATGACCTGTGAGGGAAGATTGAAAAAATTGGGTTTATTCATTCCGGCAAAGAGAAGATTGAGAGAGGACAAGACAACAGCTTTCAGATACCTAAAAGGTGTTACAAGGAAGAAGGAGAAGGGCAAGAAACAGTGGGCTTAAAATGCAGCAAGGGGGGTTTAGGTTGGACAATAGGGAAAAACTTCCTGACTGTCAGGCTGGTTAAACACTGGAATAAATTGCCTTGAGGGGTTGTGGAATCTCCATCACGGGAGATATTTAGGAGCAGGTTAAATAAACAGCTGTCGGGGTGGTCTAGATCAGGGGTGGGGAAGATACGGCCCATGAGCCAGATCTGGTCTGTGTCCCGCCCTGCCATGCCCCCACCCCCAGGTCAATTGAGACCACTGGAGTGAGGGAGCGAGAGAAGTCACCTCCCCCCACCAGGGATGTGCAGTGCCAGAGGGACCCACCAACTGTTCAAAATGGCAGGCGGTTCCCTCGGGGGGATTTCCATTCCCCCCCCCCCACGGGGGAGCACGCAAAGTCTCCTCCTCTCCACAGCATGGGGTGCCTAGAGGCCCTGCCCCTCCTAGCTAAGGCTCCTCCCGGCCCATGACCACTACCAACATTGTTGAAGTGGCCTCACTACAAAAACTATTTCCCATCCCAATCTAGATGGTGCTAGGTCCTGTTATGAGTTTGGGGACTGGATCTGATGATCTCTTGAAATGCCTTGCAGTCCTATGATTCTCTGATTCCATTCCTGTTCTTTCTGGTCCCTTCAGGTGTCTCGAGATGGTGGAATAGCTGCACCTGCCAGCGATGGACGTGGAAGCAGTGATGTTGTGGAAGGAGGAAGAATGGCTCTAGATAACAAAACCTCTCTACTTAATACTCAGCCTCCACGCGCCTTTTCAGGGCCCCGAGCCCGAGAGTTCAGCCCGTACCCTTATTCGGACACAATCAACACCTACGACAAGACTGCCTTGAAAGAGGCTGTGTTTGATGATGATATGGATCAGCTTCGGGATGGTTGGTATTAGTTTGTATTATAAATGTTCAGGCAGTTTGTGGTGTTCTGTATTTTACGTTGACACGTTTAAATGTCCATGGGACACAATACTTCAACTGTCTTCTTTATTGAAATATACATCATGTTTTTCCTCAAGTAAAGATTCAAATGATTACGTAGTGACTGCATACATACCAGAACTTGGGCATGTGTTTATTAGGCTGTATTGTCATTTTGTTTCATTTCCGTTTCAGATGTATTGTTTTATTCATAATCTCTTAGGGTGCTAGTCTTCCTGCCATTCAAGTTTAATGCACATTTTATTCTTGATTTAATTAGGAGAAGAATTGAACTCCTAAATTGTTGTGTGGGAACTCCTACTATTGTGTGTGTAGGAACTCCTAATATGGGAAGTTGTGGCAGCTGTGTGTGTATATACATAAACAACAGAATTTGTTAGAAAATGTTTTGATTAAAAATGGGTACTAATGGAATCTAGAATACACTTTCTGGTTGGTAAATATTGCCCAGAAGTAATGCTTCATTTTCAAAAGTCTGGGAATGAACAATTAAGAGATGAAGTCATTTCACTCTTGCCCTTTATTCTTTCTTCACTTCCTATCACCCTCTAGCACATAGTGATACCCAAAGGTTCGCCAAAAGCTATTTGCTGATCCATGAACCTTTTGGTGAACTTGGGTCAAGTTTCAGACTAGGTCCATGTCCTATTTCTTCATGGATCTTTTTGATTAAGATCACACCTCACCCGATGACGCCTTCAGGCCATTGTGCTTCCGTGTTATTTGGTAAAAAGCCAGTTAGCGATGATGGCATCTGCTTTTTTTTTTTTTTTTTTCCTTTCCTTGATGAAATTGACCTGTTTTCGTTTGTCCTAGAAGTATCCATCGATCATTCCGATTTGGTGGCTGATCTTCTGAAAGAACTGTCCAACCACAATGAACGGGTGGAAGAACGGAAAGGAGCCCTGCTCGAACTATTGAAGATTACGCGAGAAGATAACCTGGGAGTTTGGGAGGAGCATTTCAAAACCATTTTGCTCTTGCTGCTAGAGACGCTTGGAGACAAAGATGTAAGATGCTGGTGTTACATTTAACTCTCTAGTACCGTGGCCACCAACAGGTTGATCGCGAGGCCTCAACCAGTCGATCGCGAGGTGTCCTGTCCGCCCTGCCCCCATTTCCCTCCCACCCCCGAGAAGCTCCACTACCTTCCTCAAGTGAAAATGGAGGTAGTGTCGGCTTCCCGGGGATGGACAGAAGTCCCGCAGCTTAGAACCAATTCCGGCGATTCCGGAAGTGCGCTAGCTGCTTTGCCGGGTGTCCTGCGGGAGGGAGCATCGGCTCCCTGCACCACAGCAGTGGGGTAAGTCAGCCCCAGGGGAGGCGTGCGCGGGGGGGTCGGTTCCGGGGCAGGCGCGCACGGGGCTTCCCTGTGCCGGGGGAGGGGTTGGCCCCCTGGGCAGGTGCGCGCTGGTTTCCCTCTGAGGGGGGGGAATCCTGGGAGGAGGCAGATGCAGCAGACTCTCTGCCTCCACTGGCACCCCACTCCCCAGACCCCACTCCCCAGCTACAGAACTCTGTCCCCACTCCCCTAACGCTGTCCCCACTCCCGTCCCCGCTCCCCAAACGCTGTCCCCTGTCCCCTGTCCCCAGCTACAGAACTCTGTCCCCACTCCCCTAACGCTGTCCCCACTCCCGTCCCCGCTCCCCAAACGCTGTCCCCTGTCCCCTGTCCCCAGCTACAGAACTCTGTCCCCACTCCCCTAACGCTGTCCCCTGTCCCCAGCTACAGAACTCTGTCCCCACTCCTCTGTTCCCAGCTACAGAAACCTGTCCCCACTGGCACCCTGTCCCCAGCTGCAGAACCCTGTCCTCTGCCCTCCCAACACCCTGTTCCCTCTCCCCTGCCCCCAGCCACAGAACTCTGTCCCCCCAAAATGTATAATTTTAATTGTTTCATTTTAGATTGCGGGGCTTCAAGGAAGGGGCGGGGCTTCAAGGAAGGGGCGGAGCGGTAGATCTTCACCTGTTCTGAGATTTAAAAAGTGATCTTGGGTGTAAAAAGGTTGGAGACCACTGCTCTAGTATATTGTTTATTCTTAGATGACAGTTTGTCCATGGTGGCCCAGTTATATCCCTGGCATGGACTCTAACTGATACACCATCACCTCCTTGCAGATAGTGCTATCTGCCCTACCTCCCTGCATTAGAAAGGCTGTTGATGAACCTTTCACGGTCAGTCATCTCACTGATGGATTTTGAGTTGCTTTCAATTGTTTGATTTCTGTTCCCAGAGCATCATGCGACTAGCAGCCAAAATTAATAAGGAAAGGGATTAGAACCAATAGCATTTTAATAGGGAAAAATGGCCTACGCATTAAACAGGTGACAGTGGCATAAAAGACTGGAGTTGCAGAACTACTGTAAAAGTTTTAGTAGATGGTAGTTGACAAGAAAGACAATTTATGGGCTAAATTTTCCTCACTTAGATAACTTCAGTCCCTAATTGTGCCCACAAAATTAGTGCCATAGACAGCTAAGTAACCTTATTACATTTGCAAATAATTACGAATATATACGCTGGCAGTGTGCTGCTCCAGCCCAGCCGGGCTGGGGCGGCCCCCACCTGTGAAATCCTGGTTAACTAGTTAAATGAAATGTTCACAGGATTGGGGGGGTGTTAGCCTGGTCCAGTACCAATGTATGCTTGTTGTGTTCAGTAATAAAACACCTGAAATCCTTTTGAACGTGTTCCCCATGTGCAAAATGAAGGTCTAATTCTGAAGCAGAGTAGATGGTTTATGTTTTGACAGTAGTTGTTTGTAATTTAAGTGTCACCAGGTGTAGTGTCAGCTTTTGTCATCAAACATCTATCAGAAGATACTGGGATCCAAGCTGAGGACAACTAAATTGTGTTAGCATATGCAGGGCTTGACAAACCCCGGCAAGAGCCACTCGCCAGCCCCGCACTGCACATGCGCCAGACTGGCATTGCGCATGCGCGAAGCGCCGGTGAATGGGGCACACGGAGCGACTGGCTGAAATCTCGCCATGGGCGCGTAGATTCAGCGGTTTGTCGAGCTCTGAGCGTATGAATAGTACAGGTGAATAGCAAAGAATCAGGATGTACATTAATGATTCAGTTTGGAATTAGTCCTCTGCTGAAGTTTCAGGCACTGTTTGGAATGGCTGCAATCCAGAAACCTGGTACAAGAGTTATATAACTCAAGCAGTTGTTCTAGTATTCCAACTAATAATGCTCTTTTGCTGTAAAGGGTCAATGCGTAAGTCATAGGTGTGGCTGCATTAACTTTAATGCTTCAAGCCATGAAAGTAATTTCCATAAAAGTTACAAAAACACGAAGTACATTGAAATGCTGTTTTGAAATGTCACTTTAGAGATGGATAGTGTGAAATCTGCAGAACTCAGTAAAACAGGAAAGTGGAAACAAACAAACATCTGAGCTTCATTATCAGTCCCTCGTGACATATATAAACTGCTTTTCAGCACTAAGTTTTATTTAGCTGGACAAAGATATTGGATTTAACAAACGTAATATTTGTTCTGGTTCTTTCTCCAGCAGTGAGAATTAGGGATGTAAAAGGGTAACCGGTTACCAGGTGATGCTAACCTGTAACTGGTTAACTGGTAGCCTGGCTGGTCTGGAGCAGCACCCTGCCCAATGCAGGTGGGAGGGCTGCTCCAGGCCCGTCGTGACACACTGCAGGCGGGGGACACTCCACTCATCTGGGCCCACCACACTGTGGGCAGTGTGTGGCGTCTGAGGCGGCCCCCCCACCTGTGGGATCCTGGTTAACCAGTTAAAAGGAATGTTTAACATTCTGTTTGACCTGTTAACTTTTTAACCGGGATTCTACATCCCTAGCGAGAATGCACTTAGTCTGTATGGATCTTCATGTGCAGTGTGGAGAGCTCTGAGCCAGGTCTGCTCTCGGTTGATTTCAATCCGCAGTCGCTCTGCTAGAATTTGTTGAGTGACTCATGACTTTTGTTTGTGTAACTGCCAGCAGCATATGGCCCATGCTATCATTCTGAAGTGAAATTATTTTGTTTCCCGCTTGTATTTCTCTTTGGTTCAGCATTCAATAAGAGCCCTGGCCTTAAGAGTATTGCGGGAGATCTTAAGAAATCAACCAGCCAGGTTTAAAAACTACGCAGAGCTAACCATCATGAAAACACTGGAAGCCCATAAGGATTCCCACAAAGAGGTAAGTGGTCCATGCTATTTTAACTCTTCAAATAGAATAGAAAATTACATCCTCAGGGTTTCTAAGTCAGCAGATTTGACCCATCTTGACAAAACAACCCCCCAAAAAGAAAAAGCTTTAACATTAAAGTTTTCTTGGTATAGTCAGCTTTTTAGCTGATCCTTTCTGGGACAGCATGTCAACTGGATATGGAACTATACTGTATGTGGAGGTCAACTCTGGCAATCGGCTTTATCTCATGGTAAGGATCTCGTTGATATCAGTGGCAGGAAAGACGTGCTTTTGATTACTGTGAAGTGCATCCTAAGAGGAAAATCCAGTCTGTCTCTCTGCAGGTTTGTAAGGGAAGACAAGTGCCTCACAGCATCCCAGCCATGCCCAATGGGAGTCTGTCATGCAATATCAGGATTTCTATTAAACTCAATGCACCGGACACCATCCAGCTTTTTGAGTAGATGGTCAGGATTTGGCCCTTTATTGGACTGGTTTATTTATTCATATATCTTCCTTCTGCATCAAAAATAAATAACACAGTAGATTCCTTAAGAAAACATTTATAGGTGGGTCCTCAAAAGATCATGACAATTATGAACATTTATTAAACCCCAGTAAGGGACTGATATAACTTCTCTGATAGTTACACATTTTCCAATGAGCGCCAAACTCTGCCAGCTAATTCAGCCAGCTCCTTACTGTGGCGAAACTTCCACTGAAATCAAGGATGATAAACTTTGCCCTTTGATGCAGCCAAAGGGAAGTGTTGTCCTAAGCTAAAAAGACTGCTACACCTCTATGCTACAAGAGCTGTTGGCCATGAGAAAGATCGTCATACAGATAAGGATGTCACATAGGATCATGTAACTGCTGTCAAAGTAGTTTCTGTTAGTGCAAACTTCTGAGGAATCTATTTAAACAGCAGCCAAAGGACTGAACATTAACAACAGTCTAAAAAGTAATCCTTTAATAAATCAGCATTGTCACTCTCTCCTCTCTCAGATTTAAAGTCTCCGCATTGTTGTCATTTTCTATACAGAGTAATAAGTTGTAATTGTAAATTGATTTCCTGATAAAGAAGTCAGACAAAACATTTTGTTCTGAAGGAGTGCCTTTCATTAGCAGGTTTTTCCTGGTTACATACTTCTCAACTCACCTTGACTCAGTGCCCTTGTATTTTTTTCCCTTCTGAAATGCCTTCAAAAGTTCACACACACATCTACAATCTCAAGCAGCCTCCTTTTAGCTTTTTTCCTTCATCTTTAAAGTCCTACAGAGTATTTCCCTCCATGTGCAATTGATTGTGGTGAAATAAAGTCTGTAATGTTTACAGTTTTATACTTCACACCCTCCTATTTTTGCCTGTCTGTTGCATGCACTTGTGACCCGGAAGGGCTCTTTGAATCATAGAATCCTAGGACTGGAAGAGACCTTAGGAGGTCATCAAGTCCAGCCCCTTGCCCAAAGCACAATCAACCCCAACTAAATCATCCCAGCCAGAGCTTTGTCAAGCCGAGACTTAAAAACCGCTACAGATGGAGATTCCACCACCTCCCTAGGTAACCCATTCCAGCCTCTCTCCTTCCTCTTTGGAACCTCCCTTCAGGAAGTTGAAGGCTGCTATCAAATCCCCCCTCACTCTTCTCTTCTGCTGACTAGATAAGCCAAATCCTTCAGCCACTCCTTGTAGGTCATGTGTCCCAGCCCCCTTATCATTTTGGTTGCCCTCTGCTGGACCGTCTCCAGTACGTCAACATCCTTTCTATAGTGGGGGCCCCAGAACTGGACGCAGTACTCCAGATGTAGCCTCACCAGTGCCGAATAAAGGGGAATAGTAACTTCTCTAGATCTGCTGGCAATGCTTCTCCTAATGCACATATGCCATTAGCCTTTTTGGCTACAAGGGCACACTGTTGACTCATATCCAGCTTCTCATCCGCTGTAATCCCCAGGTCCTTTTCTGCTGAACTGCTACTTAGCCAGTCAGTCCCCAGCCTGTAACAATGCTTGGGATTCTTCCATCCCAATTGCAGGACTCTGCACTTGTCCTTGTTGAACCTCATCAGATTTCTTTTGGCTCAATCCTCCAATTTGTCTAGGTCACTCTGGACCCTATCCCTACCCTTCAATGTATTTACCTCTCCCCCTAACTTTGTGTCATCCACAAACTTGCTGAGGGTATGATCCATCCCCTCATCCAGGTCATTAATAAAGATGTTGAAGAAAACCCGCCCTAGAACCGATCCTTGGGGCACTCCACTTGAAACTGACCATGAATCTGACATCGAGCCGTTGATCACTACCTGTTGGGCCCGACAATGTAGCCAGCTTTCTGTCCACTTATCCATTTATCCACCTAAAGTCCATGTTTCCAATCCATACTTCCTTAACTTGCTGGCTAGAATACTGTGGGAGGTTGTATCAAAAGCTTTGCTAAAGTCAAGGTATATCACATCCACTGATTTCCTCATGTCCACAGAGCCAATTACCTCATCATAGAAGCTAATCAGATTGGTCAGGTATGATTTACCCTTGGTGAATCCATGTTGACTATTCCTGATCACTTTCCCCCTTCCAAGTGCTTCAAAATGGATTCTTTGAGGGATCCCCTCCATGATTTTTCTGGGGACTGAAGTAAGGCTGACCGGTCTGTAGTTCCCTGGATTGTCCTTCTTCCCTTTTTTTAAAGATGGGCACTACGTTTGCCTTTTTTTAATCATCTGGGATCTCTCCCGATCTCCACGAGTTTTCAAAGATAATGGACAAAGGCTCCGCAATGACATTTGCCAACTCCCTCAGTACCCTTGGATGCATTAAATACGGACCTATGGATTTGTGCATGTCTAGCTTTTCTAAATAGTTCTTAACCTGTTCTTTCTCCACCGAGGGCTTGCCCTTCTCTTTCACATACTGCAATCACAAGGAGGCATTTCGTGAACAAGACTGGAAAATAACAGAAAGCACTGTGCTTTGGCTAAAAGCATTAGGTGGGGACCGGGGCATATTCTACAGGAAGAGAAATATCACAGCTAATTGACGATAGGCAGTTGACAGTCATGCTGTGCCTAATAGGACCCTGATCTACCGTTTTATGGACAGTACCTTTATTCATAGACATAGAGTGTAGACAGTATCTATAGACACGTGCCACACACATCTGTCAGTGATTGCTCAGATGCAGGATGCTGAGGACCATGTTCCCATAACGTTCAAGGAGCAATGACGACCGCCCTATCTGGGTGGTGTCACTGTTGGTGGAGAGGTTAGAGCTGTCAGAAGGGCTGAACATCCCCATGGAGATGTTAACAGGTCCTGTCCCCTGTGCAGCAGCTTCCTGAGTAAAGATGCACCTGGGGAAATGCTCTAGAGAGTTTTACCTTTACCTAGAGGTTGCTGAATCAGTTAAGTCTGTGAAAAATTAACTTAGAGTCCATTTGAGTATGTCTCAATTGGTCAGACTCTCACCCCCGGGCCAGAAGGTCATGAATTCCCAGCCCACACTGCAACTCCCAGCTCCTGCTTGGTGCAGAATTTGCAGTGCAGTTGGGGGTGGGGAGGGTGGGCTGCACTTTGCCACACTCCCATCTCAAAGAGAAGTTAAATGCAGGTTCCTCTGCCTGTGTTTGCTGCCTGCCCTGGTGGATGTTATAGGTTTGAGGCACGTTGAGAGCATAGCTGAGCGGGAGGGAATGATTCTGAATGCTCTGATTCCCTGTCCCCCCCGCACTGAAACAGGTTGCAGGTTGAAGGTGATGTGAGCTGTTGTTTTGCATGTTTGCCATGTTACTGTGGAGGTATTTAAGCATGAAGATTAGCACACACAATCAAAGCCTCTTGTATCTAGTATGCTGTGTCTCCCCCTCCCCTCCCTGAGTATTGCTCCTTATTAGGAAGGTGTTAAGGATCTTGCAGGGGAAGCTCTGTTCCTGCTGCCCACCACCTGTAGGGCTGTATGGGGTGCTTCGCAGTACGTTTGCAGCCGTGATTCATGGACACGCTCACTCTGCAGAGCACCCCCGTGTAGCGAGGTGGCAGGAGTGGGGCACAGAGCGGTGGGCATCAGGAGGAGCCTGGAGCTGAGCCTCAGGGTGTAGCTGTTTATTTGAAGTGACTTTAGTAACGTTGTCTTACGCCACCATGGGATTGGCTCCGGTGGGTACAGTTCTAAGTTCTACCAGCTGGAAGGCTCCTCTCATACCTGCTTTAGATTTAGAGTAGGGATGTAAAATCCCATTTAACTGATTAAAGGGGCGAAGGTGGGGGTCCGCTCCACCGAGACTGGAGTGGGTTCTCTGCCCGCTGGGGTCGGGTTAGAGGGCCCCTGCCCGGCTGCTCCCACCCCTCTACCCCGCTCTCTCCCCTCCCCCGGCCACAGCAGCTCCCAACCCCCCCCACAGGGGAGCTGTCGCTGCCAGCACCTGCACAGGGGCTACTTGTTCCCAGCCCACACAGGTGGCCCAGTGGGGCTGGGATAGCCCTCCACCCGTGGCTGGGCCGGGGCAGGGCCCTGCTCCCCGGGTACTGGTTATGTTACCCGGTAAGCAATACTGGTTAAGGGTGATTCTTATTGGGTAACTGTTTAACCCGTTACCCACTAACACCCTTAATTTAAAGCCCCTCAGGGCAAATAAAGACCAAGGGTAGTGACCACACACACACTCACAAGCACCAGATCTAGTGTGCACATAGAAATTCTAGCAAGATCGATACACACGTTACAAATATCATCATGCTCACGCTCTAGCAATAGTCCTGGGGCCTGATGGCTGCCGTGCCAATAGGTCATGATAGAGGAAGAGTTCCTACTGGAGCTTCCCTGTTGGGAAATCATTTTACCCAGTCTGGGAGCCCCCCTTTATCCTGTGATGCTGAGTCCACCTGCAAGTGGAGATGGTGTCCAGCCTCTTCTTGTGATTTATATTGCGTTCCCCAAGAATATCGGGGCACCCCATTTTTTAAAGATTGCGCATAGTTCTTTAGATTCTCATTAGCAATGAGACACAGCCTGCATCCTGCGAGTAAGACCTGTGTTAGAAAAATGTGCCTCGTAGGCATTTTGTGATATAAAATAAATCTTATGGATAAATTGTGCGATCCACCTCCCGGTACATCTTTTCCCATTAGCTTGTGGCATTAGGTAACTCTTTGGTCACGTGTGTCAAACATTTCTTAAGTCTAAGAGGGAATATGGCTAAATAAAATCTTACAGGCCTCAGCCTTGTGTTTCAGCCCAACTTACTTAGATGCCTGATGCATAATTAACACTTCCAAATAGTTTTCAGTCTTATACGTCTATAATTCTGCAACGTAAATCTGTTTACCCTACAGTAATTACGTATGGCGTGACATGTTTGTTAATCATAATGCAACGTGTGATGATTTATTGTGTTCATCATCACACAGTAAATGAATAATAAAATGAACTAATTGGCCACAGAAGGAAAAAAAGGAGTGAGAGACCTAACTTAGACCTCCGGCCACTCTGTCTTTATCTGCAAATTGAGATTCAAGATGACCACTCTGGCGTGATAAATGGAAATGACTTGTTCGTGGGTGTCAACATGAAGGAAGTTTTATTCACAACATTTGTGATGGTGAAGGATATAAGAAGATTTAAAAAAGAGCTAGATAGGCTCATGGAGGTTAGGTCCATCATTGGCTGTTAGCCCGGATGGGTAGGAATGGTGTCCCTTGCCTCTGCTTGCCAGAAGCTGCGAATCGATAACAGGGGGATAGATCACTTGATGATTAACTGTTCTTTTCATTCCCTCTGAAGCACCTGGTATTGGCCACTGTTGGCAGACAGGATACTGGGCTAGTTGGACCTTTGGTCTGGCTCAGTGTGGCCGTTCTTATGCCTCGTTTCATGTAGATATTCACCCCTCGCAAAAGATTCCCAAGGTTCATGATAGATCCAAACCATTACTGACGTTGCCAATTCCCTGAGCCGCTGCCTCCATAAGAACGCCTTTTGTGTTCATAAGGGGTCTGTATAGAATGCCGTCAGCAGACGTTTCCCTCTGTTCACTGGCACCTGGAGGCTTGTTGGGGGTTTTTTTTTGCTTTTGAAGTGGGAGCCCATTAATGTTTTGGGTTTTGGTTTTCTCCAGGTTGTCAGAGCTGCCGAGGAAGCTGCTTCCACCCTGGCCAGTTCCATACACCCTGAACAGTGCATCAAAGTGCTCTGCCCCATCATTCAAACTGCTGACTACCCGATTAATCTAGCTGCCATCAAAATGCAGACAAAAGTCATTGAAAGGATCTCAAAAGAATCCTTACATCAGCTCCTTCCTGATATCATCCCTGGATTGCTACAGGTATGCAACTTTGCAGGAAAGCTGCCATCTGTTGTTATGAATAATTAGTATTAAGATTATTACTCGTGGTTGTGCCTAATGACCAACCCAGTATAAGGCCCTGTCGTACTAGCATTGTACAGACATCAAGGGCAAAATATCATGTATTAATTTCTAATGTGTGGTGTCTGGTTAACAGAATGTATGGGAGCTTCTGAAACCAGAATCTGCTGGATTTGGATTTAAATGTAAAAGTAGCTCTCTCTTTAGTCTTCAGCATTGTCTTCATGCTTTAGGCATTGTCTAAGGCAGGGGAAGATCCAACTCCTGAATTCAAATTCTGTCCTTGAGAACATGTGCATGGCTCCCAAAGGAGTAAATGGCAGCCAAGCCTCACATGCAGCCAATGGCAGGATTTAGCTCCTACGTTGTACAGGCTCTGTCCACCCTAAACAAAGGTAGATCACAGGTTCTCCTCTCATACTGCTGAATCCCTCAGGACTTGTTTACAAGCCTGTGTCAGAGTCAAAATAGGCTACACAGCCCTCACCCCCCTCACTTCCCAGCTCTTTGAATATTTGGACACCTACCGTAACCAAATAGGACAGGCCCGGCCTTTGGGCAAGGTGAGCGAGACTGTTGCCTTGGGCCCTGTACATTCAGGGCCCTGCACTGCCCAGCTCCTGGCCCCACCCACAAGAGAGAGAGCCCTTGCCCTCAAGAGCTGAACAAATGAGACATTATAATGGTGAGTGGGGAAATCTAAGCATCAAGAGGGGAAGCGACTTGCCCTAGATCACACAGCAGGGCCAGGAGGAGAAGGCTGCTCTCCTGAGCCTTACACCAGAACTTGTCTGCTCTAGAAGAACAATTACTTTCATGGGGAGAGGGAGAAGGGTTGTTTACACATTTATATCAATATTTAGCTTCCTTTCTTCCCCAGAAAAGCCACATTTTAGTGTGTTGGCAGAAATCTGTACTGGCCCCTCAGTAAAAGTCCCAGCCCTGCTCAAGTGGGTGCTGCTGAACGATGGACCAGGTGGGATCCTGAACCCCTCCAGTAGCCATTCAGATGTTCCCCAAAGTACCTGTAAGAATCTGTCCCAGCAGAGTCTAGAGAAGCTAGCCTGCATGGCTGCATGTTTCTCATCGTTGTTCATTGAAAAATGATCACTTGCTAAGGAATCAAAGTGCTGGAATGGCTGGGTGGATTGTGTAAGGTTTCTCTTGTGTGTGGAGCCGCGAGGAGCACAGTGTGCTTTCTCAGAGTAGTTCCAGCCTGAAGTAAATCAGAAAACATTCTCTAACTTAAGTCATAGGAGCCACTCCTTTCCCTATTTCAAAATAAATATCTTACATGCATAAAAAACTTAGCTTAAAAGCTCTTTCGTTGCTTGGAGGGTGATAGCCGTGTTGGTCTTAGGCTATGAGAGAAACACAGTGGGTGACAGACTTTTATTGGACTAATTTCTGTTAACTCTTTCACCGACATCTTGCTCACCTTGTCTGTCTTACAGTACAGTAGTATGCAGAAGTAGTAATTTGCGCTTTGATGGCACCTCAATGCCATGGTGGTTGGAGTGCGACCAATAGAGATTCCATTTGAGGATCCTAATGCACTTCACCAAACCATATTTGGGCCGCTCCTGCCAGATTCATGCCCATCGGGGATTTTAGTACATTTCCATCTCAAGCTTTTAAGACGTAATCCAAAGCTCATTGAAGTCAGTGGAAAGGTTTAGGTTCTCTCTGAGCCAAATTCTTCCTTCTGTTCCCACTTACAACCCAGCAGGCCTCAGTGGGAGTTTCTTCTATATTTGTGAGCACAGAACTGAGCCTGCAGAGTTAATTTAATCCCTTTATGGATCCAGAACTCACTGTGAAACTGTGTCACTGATGACAGCAATAGAAAAGAACTCAGATCCAGCAAAATACACCACTGAAGGCCCAATCCTTCTGAGCCTACCCCTTGAGCCTGTTACACTCACTGGGCACTTTCTGTTGACTTTGGACCAGACCCTAGAGCTGCGCATAAGAAAAGTCTTACCAGCCCATTAGTAAATGGATTGGAAATGATCTCATTTGTGTTTCTCCTGGTCTAGGGGTATGATAATACGGAGAGCAGCGTTCGGAAAGCCAGTGTGTTTTGCCTAGTGGCAATATATTCAGTAATTGGAGAAGAACTGAAACCTCACCTCGCACAGCTCACGGGAAGCAAGGTACCTGCACAATGTTACAGCCTCTTGAGTAGTTTTTGCTAGGAAACTGAACAGTGTGGGTGTGTGCTTGCAGCAGCTGAAGGCTTGTCTTCATTGCAGAGAGAGTTCTCTTGAATTCACCCCTCTCTAGCTAGCCCAGCTTGATTTAGAGCCACCACCTTGCAAAATAACACATGAGCAGTAGAGAGTGTTTGGACTAGCAGCAGGGAGTAGCTGAGACCAGTTGCATTACTGGCTTGAGCACTGTCACATTCAAGCTTCATGCCACCCTGGATGGGCCAGCCAGCAAGAGTTTAAAGAACCACTTAACCGGAGCTCGAGATGTTTGTGTTTGCACAGGGGTCAGAGTAGAGACAACACTCTTGTGATAGCTCCAGCTAACAGTGCAGTGGAAACAGGCCCTCAATCCAGTCCATGCTTCGTACAAGAACTGATTGGCATATGGCATGTTCCTGTTGGCTTCTGTCTTCACTGACTGCCTGGAATCCAGAATAGTTCATAAAATGCAGGCCATGGCCCTGCAGCCTGCTCTGGGTGAGCGGGTCTGTGCATCTGTACAGAGCAATAGGCAGGACTCTTGACTCTCAGAGATCAGATTGCAGGATCAGGGTCATGCCCTGAAAAACACCAGCAGTGAAAAAATCGAGGCCTCACTGCAGTGGGAATTTTGCCATATGCTGCAATGGAGACAGGAGTTCTCCCTAGGTATTTTCCCGCTACCAGGGTTTTTTTTAATATCAACTCTCTGTTCTCATGTTATCCCCTGATTTATACTCTGATGCTTCATGTGCAGATCCCTGCCCACCCAGAGTTCACAGTGGGATCCATCTGTTAAGGGTTTTGCCCTAATATTTCCAGGGAACTTTTGCTGTTTTTCTTTTCTGACTTATTTTATCTTCTCCTAACTTCTTTTATTTTCCAGATGAAGCTACTAAACTTGTACATAAAGAGGGCCCAGACCACCAATAGTAACAGCAGCTCATCTTCAGATGTTTCAACGCACAGTTAATGGAGATGTCTGGACATGTGTGTAGACTTAGAAGCAATCACGGTGCCTCTCAGAGACCTTTCTGCTGCCCTGTCTTCATTGGCACATCCCATCAGCTAAAGGAGGCCATGCAGATATTTATTGCAATCAGTATTTTAGTCCTTTAAAGCTTTTATGTAGACTCTTGTTGGGTACTGAATGTAAAGGAAGCAAGGCCTGTGTTGCAGTTCTCATCTAAGAAAAAAACAAAACATCAGAAAGCCATACTTAAACATATTGGTACAGCCGGCAGAAATCTTTACCATATGTTTAGGTTGCAGTGTTTCAAAACTGAGTCCAAATAACATGTACATGCTTACAAGTTAAATGAATTCTTTTTGGTTTTAGTTAATTTGATACCAAGTTTTGGTTTTTAAAGTGTTAATTACCTGCTGTGTAAACTGTTTTCCTGCTGGGCGTAACCATTTTGGCTGGAGCCTTCACCTCTCAAGTGCTGTGGTGTGGCTCCATTTTATAACTCTGATCTGAAACTTGCCGAACCTGCAAGATTTTGATGATGAAATCTTTACAAAGATTGCCATGCTTCTGGCATGTTGTGCTTTAAGATAGGTACTTTTAATGAGTAATAAACGCAATCAGAGTTTTGTAGATAAGGGGCTAGATTTCCATATAGCTAAGAATTTCTCCACTGATTTTCCCACCCACCAGTATCGTCTGACACAGAGCAGTCTGGGGCTCCCAAATGTAACTAACCGTGTTAACATCAGTCCTGCTTCCACTTTCTTCCATTGCTCAGAAGACCCCTGAGGGTTAATTTTACAGGAAGGATAATGGGTTTGTCATCAGGATTGTGCAATGAAGACTTGCTGAATAGTCTGGGAGACTGGCTGAGGAATCGCTGTTTTTTGTTGAACTCTCTTCTGGAAGGGATTGATCCACACCTCTGGGTCAGCAGCTCTTTAGCCTTAATTTCCATGGGCCATTCCCCTCCACACTTCTGGGAGTCTCCTTTGGCTCAGGAAATGTAATGGGGAACTTTTAAACGGACAAAATATTGCTGGAAAGTTACACTTGCGGCTACAGGGTTTGGCCCTACTGTTTAATAAGACAACGCCCCCCTCGAGCTTCCACACATGACCCTGTGCCTAAAATGCCTGCAGTGTCATTAACTAGCCTTTTAACCTCTTCCGTGTGTACAACCCTGCAAAGGCACTCAGCGCCTCTGGATAGGTGCTGAGTGCCCTCAATTGCCATTAGCTTCAGTAAAATACACTGCATCCACATTCTTTGCTTGAGTCCCTGCTCTCTGCATGTTTGCCATGCACAGGGGGCCGTGGCTGGCTCTGCACATCCCCTCCGGAGCTTTTGTGTGGACTCAGTACCCCTCCCCCACCTTAGTTTGAAGACAGACCTGATCCCAAGAGGTGCTGAGTGGCTTTAAGCTCCTATTAAAGTCAGTAGCACTTGAGGTTGCTTTGGGACCTGGCATAATCAGCTGTTTTTTTAGCCTCTTTCAGCCCTTGTATGACAAAATGGAAGAGATGACCTGGCTCCTGGTTTTTTTTTCAGGATGGGCTCAATGTCTGTAGGATGATGCCGCTGATCTGCTGCTCTTCCTACGTACAATGCCATTAAAAAAGAGATCTTTACTAGTGTGGGGTGTGGTGTTTCCTTCAAGACTCACTGCAGACTTGAAAATGCCTTTGTTGAAGGGATACTGTTTATAACATGCCCCCGCCATTAAAATCAAGTCCCCCTTTGCACGGACCACTCAATTTCACTACTTCTCAAGATGCTTGCTAGAGGTTTTCTTCTTTTTTCTTTTTTAAAATTCCTGTTGTGCTGATTTGAATTATTTTTAAATTCCTGTTGTGCTGATTTGAATTATTATGAATTAAGTTTCCCTTTTGTGGAAATACTCAATATGTCGGCAGTAATCTGCTGTCCTGTTTGCAATTTTAGGCTGTTTTTATTTTTAGACTGCTTTCCTAACAGTCAGTATTTTAAATGTCTCTTTTTATCCATCTCCGTTCAGCATCTTCTGGGGTCTAGACCCCGGAAATGTAATGCAAAGTCTGCGTTAATTGACTGTGTTGCGTGCACAGTCTTTTCCAGCTGTCTGACAGATCTTGTTCCATTGCCGTTTGCTTTTTATTTGTTTAAATGGCACGCTGTAGCAGATCTATGTGAATTGAATTCCTTTTGTAATGATTTTATATAGTTTATAAAATACTGTTAGTATGCACTGAGTGAATGCACTGTAACGTCCATAAACTGACCTATCACATATGTTGACACTACAGTATGAATTAACAACTCGTCTCTAGAAATACATGTGAAATATGTTGCTGCTGCTGCTTTGAGACTTCAGTGATGATGAGTTTGCATTTCCAGATGTAATTGGCTTAATTGGGGCTGCAAATCATAGAACCAGGCCTTACTTTCTTAATCAGATACTATTTTGTTCATCACCAGATGCTCATCAGTGTGATACTTAGTTTCATTACACAAGTCAATCAAGGACTGTTCCTTCTTTGAGTACTCTTGTTGTTTGTCACACCCTGTATACAGTAGGAGGCATTCTGCTTAGGTTATTTATAAGTTCATTTGAATATAATGTACATAGTTAGAGGTGGGTTTAGAGTTTTGAACATGACCTGATTTTCCTTTGAAGTACTCAAAGGGCTAGCTCTGGACATCACACGTATGAGCTGCATTCTAAAAGCTGTTCCCTGCGACTTTCTTTCGCAAGCATAAAGGTCTCTCTGGCTACGAATCTGACAACGTTCAGGCACATTTGCAGAGAAGGATCTGCATGTTGGCAAGACGTCTCTGCGGCGGTGAGGCAGGTGTTAATGTTTTCCAGCAGGAGCCATCTACAACAGCTGCCTTTTTCTTGCTGCCCATTATACGGGGCTTCAATTTTTCATATGTTTCAAGAAAAAAAAGTGTTGGTTTTTTTTTTCTTTTTTTGCCCACCATGCTTAAAAAGTCTGAACTGTGAGGAACTGTGAACAGACCAGCACCCTTTGGCTGTGGGGTTGCTTAAATCTCAGACCAGGATGGCCATTCTGTCATTGGCTGTACCAGTGCTCTGTGGGCATGAGTAAATCTATCGATACATCCTCCTCACAGTTTTAAGTACTGTAGTTCTCTCATGTAGTGCAGAATTATTGAGGCATGTGGCTTTCTTAAGGTACACTATGTGTGCTTGCCTGGATTACAATACAATACAAGACTTCTTTTCTATTGCTTATTACTAGCTTACCAATAACCTGTATAAGTAATGTATCTTGCATCTTTGTCATCTAAATCTTTTCCCCTCCTCATCCCTTTATTTATCAAGCATACTACATATTAAGGGACAGAAAATAAAACTTTGTAGAATACAGCAGGACTTTGCTAACAATAATGTTTTAAATGGGAAGTAAAAACTGCTCTGAAAAATGTCAGCCATAAGAAATGATTTTGTTGGCACAGTGTTCATGCGCATGTGTTTTTTTTTCTATTTTTCCTTCATTTTTTGGCTTTGTCATGTTACATCCATATCTGTATTTATATCTTATTTGTTTAACTTTTGAGTGTATCATGGCAAATGTACAGATGTTTTTGTTAACATTTATGTGATAGAATTTGCTAAAAAAATTAAAATAAAACCTTTTGAGTTTGCCCTAGAATAAATGAAACGTAAGTTTAATTTCCTGCTGGGACATCTTTAAATTACTGTTGGATCCCTATATCTCATATGTGTTCATTCAGATGGAAAGACTGAAAGCTTTTACCTTTTGTTTCAGAACCACAAATGCTGGTATTTATATAGCAATACCACCATGCTTGGCACATCACAGGCAAATAGTACAGGTGGTCTCTGCCCCATAGATCTTACAATTGCAAGGCCTGGACCCAATTCAGGAAGGTACTTAAGCACATGTTTACATTACACTGAGGTTTGTGGGATGTTGTGTGGTGACTCTGCATGTCAAAGGATGATAGTGTAAGTGCTAGGTGGCTAAGAAGTCCAATTCCCGAGCAATGGTGCTTGTCCTAGCTAGTGCAGGGCCAAAAGATGAAAATAATGCACGGGCGGGGGTCTGAGGTCTGCTGTACTTTCATCTTAGTGTTCTTTGCTTTCCCTTCTCTCGACCCCCTCCAGTTCTACAAGCCAGATCCACAGAGAAGCATTGGAATTAGAATTTATCCGCAAATTCAATTCACATGCTAATGGACTCAATCGTGATGAAAGTTGGTTGGGACATTGCACCTTCAATGGCTGTTATGTTGGTAAACAGCTCTTTGTGTAAACTCCCATGTCAGGAAGGATACTATCTATTGACTTTGATTCTTATCTGCTTCGTTTTAGCTACCCAATCTTCAGATACTTACTGATTCGCTCTAGCTCTCTGTCTCCCACCCCTCTTCTTTTTTTCCCCTCCTCTTCCCCTCTCCTATTTATTTTGGGTGTGCGCATCCTAAACTCATAACTTCAGTCATCTGAAGAAGTGGGCTGTGCCCACAAAAGCTCAAGATGCCATCTACATGTTTTGTTAGTCTATAAAGTGCTACCAGACTATTTGTTGTTTTTCTCTCTAGCAGTGCAGCCAGTTGTTCACTGTATCTTCCCTCCTTGTGGTGGTGATGTTGAAATGTGTTGTGCTTGCTCATGTCCATTCCACATTAGAGGTGTGTGTGCTCACTATGTGCACAGGTGCTGGAAGTTTTTCCCTCAGCATTATCCGTAGAGGAGTAACTCTGGTCCCTGCATGACATGGTACAAGAGGAACTGCCTGATCCCCACCTCCCCTCAGTTCCTTCTTGCCGCCAGGGATGGTGTATAGAACATTCACTGCTCTTACTAGCGTTGCTTAGGCTTTGTTCGTAGAAACTTTAGTCCTTGTAGAGTTAGTGTAAATACTAATAGAATGAGTTAGCCCTTAGCAGTAGTTAGTTCCTTCTAGAACTTGCTGGGAGCAGGGTCGCAATTATAGACCTCAGGATCATTCGAATGACAAGAGCTGCGAGCCCCACCATCGGTCCTTAAGACAAGGGTCAGTGTTCAGGGAGACCCCTTCTAGCAACTGGCTCATGATATCTCTTGGGTCTTGTTCCTTGTCCCAGTACCTGTCCTTGGAACGCAAGTGTGGATCACCAGTCTCCTGTCGTGGATCCGCCAAGTGACACCAATCATGAAGGGGAGCACATCCCATTAGAAGCATTTCTCCTCCAGACCCGACAGTGGATACCACCAGATACGAAGTCTTCACTCCAGTAGATCCTGGTCATTGAGTGTACCAACCACTCAGTGTACAGCTCTGCTATGGAACTGAACTCTATATCGGCAGGGCAGCCTCCCAAACCCCTGGTGCCATCTACATCAGGAGCACTGAAACCAGCCCTGTTGCCCCAGGCCCAGTGGGAGTTCTCAGCCCTCCCGACCAGCCTCCTCGGTGTTGGGAGTTTCCAACAGGTAGGTGGCCTTGACAATCCAACCCTCTCTGGTGCTTCAGGCCTCAGGGAAAGATCCCCAAGTTCATGTGGATGAAGGAGACCAACCTGCTGGACCACCAATGGATACCACAGAATCTGCAGTACTGGTCTCCTCCTTGCCGTCATCAGACAGAGCTGTCATTGGGGCCCCCCCTCTCTGTTCCTCAGGATGATGCTACGGTGCACTGGGGACTGCTGAGGAGAGTCCTCAGCTTGTAGGCAGAGGAGTTGGAGGAGCAGGAGGACTCTGTTTGACATTCTCTCCTCCATGCTCCCTGCTAGCGTGGCCTTTCCCCTTCAGAAAGGGATAGCAAAGATAATTAATGCCTTGTGGCAAACTCCCTCCTTTCCTCCCCCCCATCTCTAAGCAGGCAAAGCATAAGTATGCTGTCCTGACTAAAGAGCACAAATACCTCTACTGCCACCCTGCCCCAAATTACCTGCTGGTCCGGGCAGTTAACCACTGAGAATGTCAGGGACACAAGCATCTTTGGCCTTCTTCCTGGAGTGCATCCTGATCCAGGATCCACCAGTAGAACTGCAACGTGGTCCTCTGTCCAGCGTTCATGTCTCATTATGCCATCAGCAGGCCAGAGATGACTCTGGGTGCAGCAGAACCGTGGTACAATCTACACAGCTATGAACACCTACCCTCCTCCTTGGTTACTGTTTGGCACCATCTAATGGAGACTGGACATGAGCGAATGGGGGGTTCGGGTCCGTTTAATCCCGGTCTCTCTGCTGAGAGTGCCAATGCGTGAACCGGTCTGCGCTCCATTCTGCCCATTGGTTACTCACATGACCGTCGCCTGGGAGGTGCTGCAATGCAAGATAATGCAGGGACACAGCATCGTGCCAGACTGGGTCCTCGGCTTGGCTAGTCTGCATATTGGAATAGTACGTGGGAGCATTGAGCTTTGTGGCTTTTGCT